TTGTAGAGGGTTTATTATAAAAAATATGCCATATAGCAGTAATGGAGGGGTTGTACGCATTACGTAGTGCGTTAAAGCAAGCTTAACATTGAAAAGCCGGAAATCTGCTATCAGTGTGTAGTGTATGTTTGCTGTTTTGGCCATAAAAGGAAGCCGAAGGGTCATGATCAGGGAGTAAAAAGGTAACTAACTGTTATTAGGCTCACCTTCTATAGACCATAATTCACCACTCGCAAATTTGTGTTTTTTTTACGGTATGATGTCAACCGTTATCTAATATGTTCACCCTTACGATGAAAAGTACCTGCAAATTCTCACCTTCATATTCGAATTATTTTTGGACAACTGTCTTCCAGTTTGAGTGCTTCGTATGCCCTGGAAGACTAGATTCCTACATTACCATAGTTCCAGTATAACTTTCTCACGCAGTAAGTTCAAAGTAGACACTAGTCTTTCTAAATAAGCATGTTAAGCTAATATCCGTATTCTCTATTTCAGTTAATCGATGAAGACATGTACCACGTGCATCTGCTGTATATTGCCATTTTACTCCAATTCTAACTGTTATATCTTACTTTTGAAAAATAAAATTGCTATATGCAGCAAATATAGAATTATTTGTTTTGATGGAGATAGGGGGGTTCATGGGATTTTTAGCAGGACTGTAGTAATATTCTCACTAAAGAGCTAAGTGAGTGCGTAGACCAATGTAAGGTACCGTACAGGGTGCCTTTGAATTAGTCGTGTTCCATTAGTGTCGGTAGAGGCATCACTTGCTTATCATATGACATTTGAATAAGAGGCTATGAGATTAGACTCAGGGATGGTTAGGATGTGTAACGCGTGTCCACCCATCAGCTGCCCTGGCAACTCATGGTGCCTAGAATAAGTTTTAAAAGGACCCGAGTCTGTAGGTTTCCCAAGAAAATGACGAAAATATGCACCAAATCATCTTAGGAAGAGTATAGGCGTCTTAGAGGTGACCTGATGGCTTACAGTATGCTTTACACTTCTGAACATTCTCTTAAGCACCTATTTAAGCTTAGTCCCAACACTTACCTAAGGTGTAACACCCAGAAACTAGAGACACAACATAGCAGAACGGACTGTAGACGCAAATTCTATTCCTTAGGAGTTGTCAAGTGCTGGAATTCGCTACGCTCCGAGCTAGTCCAAGCGACCTTTCGGGAGTCCTTTAGGAGGCAACTGTATATATTATTGAGGATTGAGGATAGTATCATACTATGATTTACCAATTTCTTTTCCCCCTTTTATTGTTAACATACCTAGGTTCCCGCCTGGAGGTTTTGGTGATCGTATGCTACTAGACACGGAAGGCTGTTGAGCGAAAACATCTACTCAGTCCACAACCATTTAAGCACATGAACTAGGTGCTGAGAGGCTCGCTTATCACAAGATTCTTGAAACGATTAAGTAGATAAAACAAAGTAGCATTAGATTCAAAAATTTATTCAAAAACTTTTATTAAGAATAGAATATCAAACAAAGGTTTAAACCAAGTTTCCGTTTAAAAGCTGTGTTGGTAATGTTGAGCTGCAGTTTTTGTTTTTTTTCCAAACGTAAGAGTAAAAGAAGTAAGTCAAAAAATACTGGAAGTGGTTGTGAGACTAAAATGGACGCTCAGCATCCTTTTTATAATCTGTTGTTAGTTGGGTCTATCGTGAACAGTTCCATAGGGCCATAGTTCTAAGGGCGAAACAGTTCTTAGGATCTGTGAAGGCTCACTCCTTTTTCACTCTAAATGAAAAAATAGTTATGAATTTAGTCAGAAATGTGGAATAGATAAATAAACAAATTACATGTTTTTCAGCAAAGAATTTATGCAGTTGCGATTTACCTTGAGTTCAGGAATATTAGATAAGGTCAGCTACTATTATTTATGCAAAGCATAACATGGGCTTAGTACCGTATCGCAATGCTTTTATTATTTTGCTCCCATTTAAGTATTCCCATGCATCTGCGTCTAGTTTAACAGGAAGACATACAAACATAGTAAGTGTCTGATAAACTAAAAGCCCCAGTTGTCAAAAAGATTCTTAATATTTGTTCACAGCCAGCTGCATTTAATTGAGACACAGAACACTCATCTTCTAAGACTGTATTCTGCTGTGGCAACTAAAAGCTCAGACGCTTAGCTATCTTGCTACCGATGTTATTGCTATGGAAATCGTTTAATGACAGTGATCATGAAATATGGTCAGTGATAGATGTACAGTCTAGAAATAAACAACAAACATACTTATCGCTATCTTATAATATATGACAGCAACAGCATCAAAGGCACGTTTTTTCTTATTTTTAATCAGACTAATCTGAATCAGTATACTCAATAGAAGCAGACAACTCTACTTACTAAACTGATCTGTTTCGTTACAGGCTTCAAGCACTATACTTAAAAATAACATAATTCTTTCAACTAAAATGAACCAAAAAACATTTAATGCTGCCAGATTAAATGCAATCTTCTACAACTATCCCAAGATAAGAACAGCCAACAAAGACAGACTGCCTGAATTCGCCAAATCTATGTGCATCTATCGTTTCAACTGCTCCTGTGGAGCCAGTTATATTGGGCGTACAGTTCGGCAAGTCCGTCATCGCATTACTGAACATCATCTTGGGATCACCATTGGGTCCTCTACTGGGAATTTTCACTAAAATGAACCATACGACAACCAAGAATACTAAACTAAGCAAGTGTCATAATTATTGTTTCGTTTGCACAGACATGTTGCTCAAAGTAGTTAAATGGACATAATTAAGACGATAAAACCAAAACACGAAATATAGGCCAGTTGAATTTACCTAACAGAAGACAAAGGAAATATATATTGCTTTGATACTGAAGACAACAGGCAGTTGTTCATAAAAGCATAGTTTACAGTACAACAAACCTTTCTTCAGTAAAATCATGCACTGACATTCTATCTGGAAACAATCAACTATGTGAATAAACTCACTATGACTTGAGATATCATCCCAGAGTGCAATGGATATGCACTGTAACGCAGTCAGACGTGGCGAATAAAAATTAAAAAAAGAGCAAAATTAGCTACATTATCTAGTTATTTAATTAAAAATACATTATGAAATGACAAAATCTGTGGTTACTTGAACGCACAAATGACAGTGTGCGATTCAAAAACAGACGAAGTATTGGCTTGTTAATGCTATATAAGCATAACCACACGAATCGAATATTAGTGAGAAACGATGATGTCACCAAGTATCAAACTATTTAAGGAATTAAACTTACTGATTTTTAAAACTTCGGCAAACTCTGACTTAATAATGCATACATTGATATAAGTGTTCTGTCAAAGTCAGTTCCTATATTATTGGTGACTGATATTGGTTCGCATTTTGCTGCGGACACAGTTACTACCTCATTGCGCAATATATGGTGTAGACATCTGATTCTTGTCCCCATGTAGCCTTGTTCTAATGGTCAAGAAGAAAGTTTCGTCAGGACCCTCGAGCGTTCTTCATGTGGATGAATCTTCCCAAACTCTCATACAATGAGCGAATAAAATGCTTGACCCCTTTATTAGTATCTTTTTTTATGATTGAAGGTGGTACTTACTTTTATCAGCAATCCGAATCTTTAATGATGAGTCGCATGATCACCTGTCTTATCTTTTTGCTCTCACCTTATCGACTAATTTCTGGGACCATAATCTCTAAATCTACTAACGGATCCATTTGTTTTAAGGAAAAATTGGATCTTAGTTCGAAAGAGGTTGCAACGGTTCAATGGAAAGAGCAATGCAGAATATTTGTTACTGAATGCTGAAATAAGTGTTTATTGAAGTGGCGGTTTGTCTGCATGTTGCGTTACTATTTCCTGCGGTTATTGCTATTTAACTTTACCTTCTATTTGCCTGTATATGTTGTGTAACCTTTTGATGGCTAAAAAACATTTGATTACTCACGTTTTCGGAATTCATCTGTACTCTTCTGTTAATCTTAAAACCGTTGAATAAATATTGACAATGCTCTAAGTATAGTATACTATATGTTTACATACATGTATGTGTTACCATAACATGACGGTAACGGATGGTTTAGTTCAAGAGATTTTTCTAGGTCACCCAAGCTATATAATTAACGAGGCTTTTGCATGCAAACTCGTTCCCTAGAAGTATCTTAAGATACTTATATACGAATTCGTATACAATTTAGGAATTCAAATAGCTAAGGTTGGAGATAAGAGGTTAATTATGAATCCTCATCTATGCAAACATAGTTTACGTGCGTAGACAAATAGCCAAATGATTTTGATTGATATATAGAGGGCTGGTTCCCCGATGTCAGGATTTTAGGGAGACTGCGTTTTTTCCTTATGTCATGGTAATTATTAGTTTTCCACAGTGTCTGAGGAAATATTGATTAAAACTCAAAATTTTCTAAAACTTCTTGAGGACTTCCTCAAAACAACTTAGAACTTCGGGGTTTTAGTAGCATTCCTTCTAAAATGCTTTATTTCATCTTAAAATCAAATTTCTCAAGACTGTTAAAGCATTACCCAAAATCGGGAAATTGGGTTGTGTCTTATTTTAAATTGGTTTACAGTGTTACAATGGAGGATATAATGTTAATCTGGAATAAGCGTACTCACAAAATGTAAAGTTAGTTGCAATGAATTTTCTTCGAAAAATTGGATGCATTGAGAACAATAAATGAAATTCTGACCTATATCCAATATCTTTGTTGTGAGCCTATGTTAACCTTTTGATTTCTTTGGGCTCTCTTGTTGGTGTTTCTGTGCGGTTCCAGGTCTTTGGTAACGTTTAGTGGCTATGGTCTAGCTATTCAGCTGCACTAATTTGTGTCGTTTTCAATCTTAACTTATCATAAAACATATTTTAATACAGCTAAAATGTGATTACTTCCAAATATTAAAATGACCAAAACTACCATTATTTTAACGTTTACTCAACGTAGATATTCTTAAAATTTTATTTTACTTTTTGTTTTTAGATTGTCGATATCCCGTTGTTAGCTCACTTATTTCACTCTGTTATTAGTTGAAAGTTATCGCACCAATAATCAGTATGACAGTTGTTGAACGAGATAATTTAAGTGGTTGTACGCTGAAAGAAAAGCTGGACTTATACTATCGTGTTGGTATGTAACTCTCATTTTGGCCTCGTGATAGTCAATTTAGTCAACTTGAATCTGTGGTATATTAGTCTAGATTTCCTTTTATGCCAGTTAGTTTAGTTCAACCTCACTTTATATACTTCACTTTGAACTGGTGGGTAATATTTTTGGTCATTACCGTTAGTATGATTTATTAGTTTAATATTTAATATCAAAAGTGATACAACTAACCAGAAGAATGGACCTTTTGTGACAAAATAACACACTTATATCTGAATTAGTAACCGGAAAACAACACGAATAAGTGTTAAAAACGATCAAACGATATCTTCTTTATAGGTCGCTCACTATCTAATGAATCAAGTTTTAACTGCTAAACCTGATATTGTCCCGTCATATGATTTGTGTCTTGCAGATTTGGGTTTTACAGTTGCTAATTGGCACACCTGTATGTATTTTATTTTGTATTTATGCAAGCTGTTCAAATAAACTGCACTAGTTTTTGTTTGGATAGATGTTTTAATGTAATTGGCGGCAATTTACATCACTTATTTTTTTAAAGTTAGATGCATATCGGTTCTTATCAAATACACCAGATTTAGTGGATAAAATGATATCTCTATTATAACATGCTCATATCTAACATAGTAGATACCAGCATACTGAAAGTTCTATAGGGTTATTTACCTCTAACAATATCTGTTTAGGAATGCTTTCTATGTGTTTGATCGTCTTTCACTTTTGGTCGTTTTCGCTGCAACTGGTTATACGTTATAATGAAAGTCGTTCTTTTACACATCAGCATTGAGACGAAATTAACATGATCAGTACTAAAGTAGTAGAATTAGTTGTGCCAGTGGTGGGTAAAAAGGATCAGGGATACAAAATATGGTTTGAGAACAAATTTGAAAATTATAAGATTTAAAATGATAATGAAACTTAGGACGTAATGGAAAACAGAGTAAATGAATCCACACAATTGAAACTAATTTTAAGCCACGCCTTTTAAAGATTATATAATCGAGCAAACCTTAACCAGATATTCTGGACCCACCATCTTGATTCAATCTGTCAGTCAGTGATTTTGCGGACTGATAATTAGTTTTGGTTTGGCTGCTTATGATTTCCCTCCTACGCCAACCAACGTTGCTCGTCTAAATACGGGGTGGTTGGTCATGTGTAATACAAATCTCAGCCACCTCAGTTGAGGGTTCGCAGTCTTATAAATCGATCTAGTATCTTCGCTTAATACCTTGAATTTAACCTCGAAATTATTTATTTAATGGTTCCAACATACTTGAGCAATGCTTTGAAGACACTTATGATCAAATAATAATAACATATGAACGTCATGTACTTCTAAAGAACGCATTCCACAGTCTTACAGTAAAATAGAATAAACCACTATGTAGAGAACATATCGCCTATGGTGCAAGTGACAGAAGTCGGCGAAAGCCAGTCGAATTTTCCATATTCTAGACAAAAGTGGTTGTTTTAGGTGCCTCAGACATTCAATTATTTTCTGTTTGTCGCAGCACTTATTAGGAGATTCTTCCTTAACTTTTAGAGGGATGTCCGTATCTTCTCACCCAATTCTAATTTTATTAATCACACATCTCAAACATTTTTTTGATCATCTTTTACTACGAAAGTCATCAGATGTTAACTCTAGGGTGTTGTGATCTTATGGTAGTTCAAAAGTTGTTTTATACAATATTCGAGGTTTATTTTACTCCCAAATTTACTGAATATTTTCTCGTTCTTTTTTCTGTTGGTAGTAAAAAATCAAATTCTCCGCTTTCAACATCCTATCAGTGGATTATTTCCTCTTATGCCCATGAACACTAAATGTAGATATAGTCATGTACGAGATTCTGTGTACTGTGCCACAGTTGTATGGGCTCTACACCAGTGTTTTGCGTGAGTGGATTTTTAACAAAATCTACTTTAAAAACGTTTTACAATAAATTACTTAGTTTTTGAATAAAACGATTGATCAAAATACTATGAAGTGATTATTTTTATATAATTCTCTTGGAATTTTGATATTTGTCGTGTTCTATTAAAACAACACTCAGATTTGCTATCAGTGTTTTGCATTTGATGTATAGTACATTGGAAATCTAGCAGAACTGCAAAAAACTACACTAGTATTTGAGCATCAGCACTGAATGCTTTCGGATTTCACCTATTGTACCAAAGTTAGTTCAATTTAGTTACTTCACTTGTTACGTGTAAAAAACATTATTGTATCTAGAAAGGTCGAAATTCAGGAAGTGGTTCAGATCGAATGAATAGTGTAGTGTGGTTTATTAGGTAAAGTTATTATCGTTTATTTTTAAACCTAGTCACTATACTTTAAAACGTCTGTTTTATCAGCGTGAATCTTCCACTTCGCAAATGCTATTTTTTCCGAGTTAGTTCAAATGATAAACGAATTGGTTATACCTTTTGAATGCTCATAACTTCTATTCATTTTGAAAGGTATTTTTTACAAGCTGAAATTGTTCCAAAAATTACTAAGATTCGGTGAGACATTAATTGTTTTTTCATAATTTCCTCAATAATTTCCGAATTACATGAATATTTAAGAAATAGACTTATTAAGTTTTGACTTTCTAATGTCTAATACGTTACTGATAATTTATATATATATATATATATATATATATATATATATATAATAAATCATTTTTTCATAGACGGATCAATGATGATGAAGGACGTCATTATGAACTTGGTCAAAGTGCTGTCAAGTGTATGCGTAGCATTTTAATGGGTTGGATGCAACAATCTGCGCGGGTATGTATCATTATCATTACTATTATCATTATTGAGTAAGATTTATTTAATTTTTAATATTCAATTTTTCGTTTTTAAATATTTTTTGTCCTAATGTGATTCATTTCAAATAAAGTAATAGTATACCAATATGTTAATGTGAGGAAGATGATTCAGTTGTTTTATGGAGTTTCCTTATAATAACTTCTAGAAATAATAAAATTAGTAATTAGCTAATATTACTAACTAGTTTTTCAAGAGGGCACACAAACTAGTCAGTCAGTGATAACCAACGTAGAACCTGCTACTAATATGCGTTAGCCCAATTTATTTTGCCACACTAACACGAGATGAAATTAACGTAATGAATGGCAGGTGGTTTGAAATAATGTCGTAGAAATCATGATGAGAATTAGGTATTGAGGACATAGTGGTGAATACATCTGCACTGTTGTGACTGATTCTGACTCACTCAGCGTCTCCAATTAGCACGAACTGTTTTGATTAAAAGATAGATATTCTTAGTGGTTTGTCAAATCACTTTTTGATTAATCGTAAGTACAAATGGATTTTTTATGCAGAGTTTTTAAATAAGGTTTTCAAGTGATTTAAGCTTAAAAAAGTTATTTGAATATATTGCCGTCTTAATTTCCTGCGTAATCCCTACTTTAAAATTCAAAATGTAATGACTGAAATATAATCTCATTCAATTTGTTATTTGCAGTTGGAATACTTTAAAAGAGTTCAAAACTTGGATACTTGTTTGCACTCACGTCTTGATTATGAAACTGGTGAACCTATTTATGATGATCAATATAAGAACTTACAAATGGACTGCATTGGTCTGTATGTAATTCAGCTGGTTCAAATGATTCATTCTGGACTTCAGGTTTGTTGATTTTGATAAAAAGTTGTCCTTATGGTCGAATTATTATGTAGACTGATTCAGTCAAATGAAGACCTTGTGAAGGTGTGGTGTCATTCACTATACCTTGAATTTTATTCATCACAGAAAATGAAATAGTAATTAATAACCACCAACCAACTGGGTACATAAATAAAGTGAATGGATTTATGCGATAATTAACACTTTTCTGATACATCACTGATTCTCCACTAAATAAGCATGTTTTAATCTATAAAACGTGTAGGTTTTTTCAGTATTTTCATTCGATAGGGTTGTGTTGTTTGGATACATTGGATTAACCAACTGGTCATTGAAAAATTTACTCTCAAAAATGTAAACTTGAGTTTCCAAAATATGGTCTGCGCTGGTAAGTGATCCTCGGGGATGCCCTAGTTTCGTCCGTACACAAAGTAATGTTTGCATAGTTAACAACTTGTCAGATTTCCCAACAGATATCGATGAACACTGATTGTAAATATTTATATTCATTGCAACATATGCTCGACCTAAATCCTGTTCTTATTAGCCATGAGAGGTGGAAATGTTAAATTGTCAGAGGTTTTGGAATTCAAGTAATTGACTTTACACCATATTTTACTTAGATTTCCTCTAACAACGTTCCTTACGTTTTATGTTTCTGTGATACTGCATGGTTCATATTATAATTACTTTGAAGATTTTTGCTAACCACATAAATAAACAAGATCTTAGTCGAAGAGTAGGTCATTTATCCGCTGTCTGGCAAATATGATCTCGGGGCCTGAATTCTTTTCATTCAAGAAGTTCCTCATACTAAATTTTCATAGTTTATAACTTCTAATTTCTTTGAGTCAAGACCTTCATGAGCAGAGTTCTCAACCATAGTCTCGACATTGTCTTTACCGTGGCTTCATTGACTGTTGTCTACACCTTTATCCACGAAAATCGAAACTTAGAGAGCAATATGAGTGTATGACATCATGTTTAATTTCTTCATATTATGTGTTTCTTTCAGATTGTTTACACAAAAGATGAAGTGGCATTTGTACAAAATCTTGTGTTCTATTTGGAAAGAGCCTACCGTATCCCAGATTATGGAATGTGGGAACGCGGAACAAAGCAAAATCGTAATATAACTGAATTACATGCAAGGTAAGTTTATATATATATATATATAAAGTTCATAAGTTATTTCTGGAAGTTACCATTCTTTTAATCTTCGGATATAATAGTGTTGTATAAAGTTAAAATAATGTGTTAGTTTAGTCATCCTGATACATTTTTCTTCTTCCAACCAGAAGTGCGCTCTGACTTGGGGAATAGTTAAACAAGTGCTATATTTACTTCATCCATTTCATTCGGTCAAAATTCGCGACGAGATCAAATGAACTATTATCCATTCTGAAAGCTAAATTCAACTCCGGTACATTTCCCAGACACTTTAAATCAAATGATAACAGATACTAATCAAGTTTTCATCATTTTTACAAAGATTCTGTTGACCACCACTCTGCTAGAGTAAATAAAAATCCGATATAAATGAACATAGCTTTGTTTTAAATAATCATTTTCTAACTGAATGTTCATATAATAAATCTTCTGATTTTTTATTGGCTTTTTCAAACGACCACTTTGTAATATTTTCATTTGACAGAATATACCATTTATTATCGAGTGTAGATGATTGGCAAACTATGGTTAACAAACAATTTGAATTGTAGTATAGTATACCAAATTATATTTTATGTTACTTATGCAATGGCTATTTCGTAAATTGTTGATAATATTCTTTTTTTTTCATTTGTATAGAATTGTGTTTCATCTGGATTATGCTTTATTTATTATGTAATAAGTTATGAATGAACTGTGTATTATCATTGATTTTGAAATTTTTATAATCCTATTTCCTAATTAGCTCTATCTGTATGGCGAAAGCTGCATTGGAATCGGTTGCTGGATTCAATATTTATGGTTATGAAGGTGGACATTCTTCTATCCTTTTTATGGATGCTGACGCCCACAGTCGTAATAGAATAATTATGACAAATTTGTTACCTAGAGAATCTGCATCAAAGGTAAATTATGTTCCTTTAACTAGTGCGATTTCATACTCAATATGTGAATATCATAAGTTATGAAAAGGGAGTCGAATCAAAATATTCTGAGTTAGGAATAATATCATTTCCTTTAATTGGTTCTTATCAACTACATAGAATCTTAAATGTCTCTTCTTGATGGTCTGGGATTTTCAAATCTCCAGTTTCATTTGGAATCTGTGAACCATATCGTGTAATATGGCCATTAATTGAAATGACATAGATCTTAGTTTGGCGTATTTATTGTTGAACACTAATTGAAGATCAGAACCTATCACTTCTTAGGCCGTACAATACTGAACAAAGAATATTTAAATTTCAGGCAGAAGCAAAAAAGAACTTGGATTTATTCGAGATTTCGGGGATATCTGTCTGATAAGCACTGATAGCCATAAAAACTAACCATGGGTGTTGTGCTCCATAATCTAAAGCTATTCAGCACACTAACTAACATCCCTGAAGGAAAATAAAACAGGCTGTATCAAACTAAAATAAAGCCACACTCTGCTCCATACATATGTATTGCGATGGTCCGATTAGCTGACGAAATACTGGAATGATTGAGATAGCCAAAGTAATAAGCTACCTACTTGACCGGTTCCTACACATCAGCCGCATTGTCAGGAGAGAACGAAACACCTGGTTAGCCGGTTGAATAAATATTAGCGAAATAAAATGGACATTTACATGTCAAGTATAAGGCTAAGATGTTTTGACTAAGCTATTGATCGGATAAATGATTAACCAATTATGAAAATAATGATCAAAAAAGAAGCGGTTACACTTTAATTTTATCCCCCATACCAGTTCGTTGTTATTCGTTTTGTAACTGTTGTGTTCCGTGTTCTAGGGTACTGACGCTTCACTTATTCCTGCATTGTGTTGGCCAGCTTATGGTACATGTTCAACTAGTACGCGATTGCCAGCTCTGGAACGCTGTTTAGAACGTTTAAAAGGTGTTTACGGCTTCAAACGGTTTACCCGAGATGGATATGCTACTGTTTTAGATACAAATAGCGAATATCAACCGGGAGAATTGATGGTATGCTGTAGTTAGTTATATCTTGGCCATTTGTTCTCTGGTAACTAGTGAATTAAAAGTGTTTTGTTTGTTTTCGTCTGATAAACGTGTTAGTTTAAAACTTTATGTGCTCGACTGAAGTTCGGTGTATAGAGGAATCGATTTAGACTCGCTGGTACAATGATGTCTTCCTCACCTGAACCCCGAGATAGTGGTTTCAACCTCTTGAGGTCGTCAGTGGGCTTGGCTAAAGAGTTCCGAACTAGGACGAAACATTTTCTTCTAGTGCTCTTATGTTTTGAATAGTGCTATGCTTTGGTTTGTAGGTGGCTGGAGGTAGTCAACAGGAAATTCTTGTCCTAGGTTTCGTCCTTATTGGCACTCGTCAGCAGGGCACGTATTTTATCTTTTTATTTTCGGTAATTGATTAAAATTCCTAGTTGTCAGGCTTAACTACCGACTAACTTACTTACGTACGCCTGTTACCCCTCATAGAAGAGCATAGGCTGCTTACCAGCATTCTCCATCCAACCCTATCTTGGGTAATCCTTTCCAGTTGCTATTTGTCCTTTTCATACCGACGTAGTGTGTTCTTTGGTCTTCGTCTTTTCCGTTTCCTTTCAGGATCCCAAGTTAGCGTTTGCCTCGTGGCTATTTGATTGCTTATATCAAATTATTTTGAAATGGTTTAAATTCATTGATATACACTGTTCTTGAGGTATATACTGGCTGATTATTAAAGTTTATTAATTACTCATACTTATGTGAACAAATGATATTTTTCTTCGCTATTTTAAATAGCCTAATTATTTCTCGTTATCTGTCTGTAGAAATTTGTTGGAATCGAAAGTGAATGGCCAATGTTTTTTGCATACATGATTATCGAAAGTAAGTTGAATGTCAGTCACTCCCCTTTCAACTACATCATAAAATTGTGGTATTTGTGATTCAGATAAAGTGTAGAGTAATTTTGTGACTTATATTTATTGACTGTTTACTGCCCTCAATTTATTTTTATTAACTGTAAATTAATAATCAAAGTACAGATTTGCTTATTCAGTTTTGGGTCATAATTTTGTGTGCAAAGTTTAATGATACTAATCTACTGTCCATATTGATATGGATGAAGCTTGCGAACTAATGGCTGAAAGTTTAGTGCTGTTTAACTCCTCTACAGCTCCACATTCTGGATACATATGAAAGTAATCTTATGGATATTCTCCTATCTTCACTGATTGTGAATCTTTTAACACAGTATGCACGCTATATAAATTAATGATTGAAACTGTATAAAGATTTCTCACTTATTCCTAAATCTACCAATCAGAACACCAAAACGTCAACCAAGTACCTTATATAATTTTCCTTAAAATCATGAATCGATCAGTGTTAGACCATCATTGAAATCCTAGACTCACTGGACAACCGCTTCGTCCTAGTATGGGACTTCTTGGTAGTGTGCACCCACGGTTCCGTGCGCAGGAGTCGAACCCAAGATCTTCGGTCGTGAGCGCGAACGCTGACCTTTTAAACCACTGATTTGGCATCCGACGGGTTAATATCTAACTTCAACCAATCCACGATATTGTACGGCCTATTTAATATTATCCTGCATTAATAAGACTAAAACTCATGATTATATACGTGATGATTTGATGATTATATTAAGCATTCAATTATTGAATACATTTTGACATCGGAACATTTAACTAATTGAACAGTTTGTTGTTTAGTTGTTTCAAATTCCAGTCTAACTTGCCAGTCATCTATACAATGTCAGGTATATCAGGAGAGAACGAAACAACTGGTTAGCTGGTTGAATAAATATTAGCTAAATAAAACGGACATTTTAGACTATGTATGAGAGGCTATAGTTTTTTAATCGTTATATACTTGATGCTAACACTCACAATTCAGCTCTTATAATTCTTTGAATAGTCTATCTCATATTAGTACACTCGTATAGATTTGTATAATTTTCCTGTTTATGGTTTAATTCCAAATGTTAAAATTCATTGCATTCAAAGTTCTAGTCAAAAATGACTATGTTAACTGGTATAGTGAGTCAATCAGAAGTGACCTAACATAAAGATCACTCATACATTGTCAAAAATGACCTAAAAGACTAATTCATATCACTGACTAGAAATGGATTCATTTTCTAAGGGGTAGGAATGTATCTATTTAAATGAGTATTTGTGCATATTATTCAGTAGCCCAATCGACCTTTCTTTCGACCATTGTCTTCTTGCTCAAGTGGTGGGGGGGGGTTAACGCATAAAATGTTATGTATCAATATCAGATCTCGGACATCACCCATCATAACACTAAGAGTATCACAGTCACTCTGCCAGTTTCATTGTATCTAAATCATATTTTATTCGGCAGTTTAAGAATCCCCATAGAATATTCAAATATTCTTCATATTTTATTACATTTTAAAGAATATCATTAAATGCATGGCGGTTTTTTGTATTTCTTTATTTAGTTTTTTTACCCCATTAAAAATTTTTAATCCCACTTTTCATTTTTCTCCATTCCGTTTCGTCCAATTAAATGGCTAGTTTTAAATTCGTTATAATTGGTTATTTATTTCTTAAAATTGGTATAAAATGTGAGTACTTGTCGATTGAACACCTTTTCTTCAAAGTTACGGACGATAATGACGTGCAAAGTACAAACTCTGTCGTTTCTCACTTTGCGACGTACTGTCATTATGCGGTGCGAGATTCTCATTTTCATAGAGATCAGAAGCCGTATATTAAATTTGTATGTTGTAGAAATGGTTGAAGAACACCTAGCGGATCCTCACAACCGATTAGACAAAGGAGGTAATTTCACTAGTGTTATTATATTGTTCTTGAAGGACTTCAATGAACACTCATTGTCCGGCTTTCATCTTTTATAAGTTTACTGAAGGTCGATTTGGATGCCACGTTAACTAATGACGAAGAGGAAATCGTTTCTATAACCTCAGAAGAATCCAGTAACCAAAACAACGGTACTGATGGAGATGCTCACGACATCACACTTTGTGACACATGCAATCTTGCTCAGCCGCCAAGTGAAACTGCTGACGGAAGCACTTGGATTTTTTGTCGCTACTATACAATGCTTCATTTTTTGTGTGCTTACGACCCACTACCACAATTCCATAGATCCCACTGCCCCATGTGCGGCTCTATTACGGAATCGTAGTCACACTATTGTTCAGGAAAATATGAACTATTTAGAGACCGAGTAAAGGCCCTTCTTAGGGCCACCCACAATTTGATTTAAATTCTTTTGTTTCAATTCGTTAAAGAATTTTTTTACAATATCTTTTCCAATGAAGTTGTTTAAGTGTTCCATCTGATAACTCCTATCTTGCATACACCAAGTTTTTTTTTACTTTAATTGTTTACTGAAAATTAGTAAGAATAAGTTTAAGTTATCATTAACTATAAACCGGAAATTATGTACTATGATCATTATTTCCATGGGAAAGGTCAAGTGATGAATTAGAATCGCTCACGTATTAGCAATACTTTTTTCTGATCTATAAAATGTCTATCATCTAATGTACAATAATCTATTTAACAATAGTACATGCAAAATTTAATAAGAATATTTCAATATAGTGAAAATTCTCATATTGACGTGTGGTAAATAAATGTAGGCACAGTGGTCTAGTAGTTAAGCGCTCTCACGAGAGACTGATAGATTCTGGGTTCGAATCCAGCGAGGCAGGGTCGTGGATGCGCACTACTGAAGAGTCCCATACTAGGATGAAACGGTTGTCCAGTGCTTTCAGGTTTTCCATGGTGGTCTAGCTTCAATTGACTCATGATCTCAACTACTGAGATTTTATTATATTGACATTAAACGTTGGTATAGCTAAAGGTTAATTGATACAGTTGACCTTATTCGCATTCAGCAGTATAATCGACCTAAAAATTTATTTTGTCAGACGTAAGCCTGTTAATTTACACTTAAACAATATTTCTAATGCTTGTCAAAAATGGTCGTTCTTGTAACATTCAGCTATTTCGTGTTTGACATAAAAAAAATAAATATTCACATATAACGAAAATGTACATACAACTTTTTAGTGTTCGTCTATTATGTTTAATAAAGAAAACTGATGATTCGAAAAAATGATTCCAGACTTTCTAAATAAGTAACGTATTATTTACAAAAGGCATCAAAACATTAAGATAATGATTTGGTCAGACTGCACACCTTCAAAACATTTGCTGTTGACGTAAAGTGAAAAAACCTTACGCGCAATTCCCATGCACAATAACCGATTCACACTACTGCGTACACAGAGAAGTGTGTTTTTGTCAGGATTATAAACTACTACATAAAATGAACAATGTACAGTTAAAAACAGTTTATACTTTAAATGGACTAGCAAAATAACGCAATTACAATCTTGCATTTATTTACGATACCATTTTTAAGGCTAAACTAAACAACTATTTTGTATTAAGAGTTACTGTTTGTAAAATAACCAAATCATAAATATTATTTGCTACGTTCTCTGAAATTATTATTAATTTAAGAAAGCGTAATAGTTGCTTCATTTACCAATCCTTAACGGTTAGCGTGAATAATACATGCCCATTTTCACCAAACATTGGTTTTTTATTGGTATACTTTTCTAATTCTGATTAGATTGTTTAAATGGTGATCGAGAGAAAGCAGTAGAATATGATCAATTAATGCAACCACTTCTTGTTCATCCTATATCGGAATCATGTAAGTAGTTAGTTCGATGAATGATAAATGTTAAAATGTTAAAAATTAACTTCTGGAATTATAACACTAATAAAGATCTGAACTAGTAAAAATAAAGTGTGTTGTAATTTCTCGATAAATTTGATAAAATATTCATTAGTACTGATATAACTAATGAGGTCGATCTTTAACTTTCAACTCAAACATAGGACCACGGAACATCTGACAAAGTATATGAATGTAATATTAACGAACTGGAGTTGTCAATCATTTACGAAATATGAAATAAAAATAGTATGATTTATAATGGATCTATCAGTTAATAAATAAATAGTTAGTGATAACAACGAAAGTTATAAACTAGCCAGTGATTATTCATGTAAACCTGTAGCAAAATGTTTGGACTAGTGAACACTATCAAAAGTAGCTTTAGTTAAATTTGAGTGTAAACGTATATGTGTCCGATTTGCATGAATTAGATTTCCGTCACTTCGAGCATCTTATACTCAAGTTATGAATCAGCATTGAATTCGCAGCTTATTCATCAATTTTAAGAAATGTTTATTTGAAATTCCGAAATTACTCTCGTTCAGGTGTGTAATTGATAACTTCATGAAACGACTACATTTATTAATTTGCATCGTATGTAAGAATATGTTACTTTCTAACTGTCTTGCATATCTTTGTACAAAACTATTATTCAAATCTGTTTTACAAAGTAATCGATGCTAAATAATGACATAGACCCATGGTCTTTGTGAGGATATTTTATATCGAACGTGTTTGTCCGGCAATCACGTTAGTGCTAACTCATTACATTAGGCATGCATATCTCCGATTTTGTATCTATCTTTATTGTTGGTTCTGATTGAACTTTCTATACAGATGTTAACCGTACTAATAAGTCATTAGGTTATTTGTATACAAAATTAGTCATACATGACCGATAAAATTTGTCAGTTTTATATTCTTATAAATCTATGCAAGTAAAAGGAACATTTCTTATAGTGTTTTGATGTCTGTCATTTCACATAAATGCTTTTCAGGATCAATCAGTAGAAATTTGTTTTGATGTAGCTTGACTGTTGTATATTTTCAAATTCAAACCGAATAAGCGATGCTATCCGGAAACAGGCTCATGATAGGTTACCTACAATGTGCTTTCTAATATGTGTAGATCAATGTAACTACTGTTTAGCTAGTTACAAGGTCTGTAATCAAGAGATTTTATCCTTACGCTCTTGTTAACCAAGTCTATTAAGTGACATTCTTACTGAACTGATAGTTTGTGAACGTTGTATCAAGATACACAGTTTGTTTTAATTTTGTATCGTGTTGAATAATCTTCTGGAAGGAGCAAGCTTACACTTAATATACATGTATATTTTAAGAACTCTGTTTTTCCTGACATAGATCCCTGGCTTCCAAAGTTTTATTTTGTTCCTACTGAAGAATTGGAAAAAGAACGTCGTTGCCGTGGTTCAGCGATTCGTAAAAGCAGTTTCCGTTTAGTCGGTGAATCTCGTTTCCTTTGGGGGCAATCAATCTATATTATATCTCAGTTACTTAGTAGGTTGGATTTCCCTTCTTTCTGAATAATTTGTAGATTACAACAAAAATTTTGATGTAAAATTTAATTGTTTTATTTTGGATGCTAAATAATTCCTAATGTTATGACTGCTTGAAATGGACAAAAATTACTTGAATAAACGAAGATAGAGGAATCGGTAATTCTTCTCACGAAACTGATCTTTCGATCTCGGTTGGGTGGATGATAGAAGACAGAACTATACTGAGCAACTAATTAAGTATATCTGAATATATATTAGGAAATTTGGAGGTTTTCATTTCTTCAAATAAAATACTGTTTATTTTTTTATTTAATGGTAAAAAGTAAATAGCCAAGACTGAAAATGAAAATTAAGAAACAATTGATGACTTTGTGTTCATCGTAACACTTAAGTATTACATAAATTTAGTTACACATTATAGATAAGAAAGGAACGTAACAGTTGTTAGGTTTAACTTATGGTCTTAGTATCACAGCTTGTACAATTTCTGTTTTCTTCTCTCAGAATCCGGTTAAATATCAGTTTGATTAAATCCTCCTGTAGCTCTTCTGGGGCTACTGTCAGTCTCAAGCACGGGAAAAGGAAAAGGGCTTGTCACCGGGTCAGAAACCCCATCCCGTAGAAAATATCTTGCTAAAAAACGCTAACCAGAATAAACAAGTTAAACATATCTACTGGAAGTTGAAGGATTTTCATTCAGAAGAATTATGACGCCTCACACTCGAAGCCGAGATTGTTTAAGGGCCACTAGAGCGATATTCCTTGAAACAACCAAAGCAACAATTAATATAAGTACGTGGAATGTTTAGACAATGTAGGGGACCAGGAAGACTAATAAAATAGCTGTGAAAATGAGGAGATACAACTTGGTGATGCTCGGAATCAGAGAAACCCATTGAACCCAAGCTGAACAGAAAATGGGTAGATTTGGAAGAGATGCTGTTGTACTCTGGTCACGAAGGAGAAAGTGCTCCACACACTCAGAGAGTTGCTCTAATGCCATCCAAAGAATTACGTAAAACACTTATAGGATGAGAATCTTACGGATCCAGAATCATAAAAGTGTCCTTTAAAACAAAGGAGGGAATCACGATGAATGTTATTCAATAATATGCTGCAAGAAACATCATCATGACAAACGGATTTTCATCGATACCCTGGACAAGATTCAAGAAAAGAAGAAGATAGTAATTAGCAACTACTGAACAAGAATAGAGAAAGTTAAGGCACAAGAAAACAAGCAAGTGAAGAGGAGCATTGCTATAACTGTGATGCTGCAGATTAGAGGACAGCGAATCATCGATCGGACCAAAGACGCGCAGACACATAAGGACGGTGTAGGGTTCTGATTGGTCCCGCTTTCCTGTCTAACCCAGCCAGTTGAGTCCAGAACACAAGTCTCAGCCTCGGAGATATGAATCATTATATTTCAAACATACTATGTTTATATACCAATCAAGCAGACCACATCGTACCATAAAATAGAAAATAACATTGTACAATACTGACCAGTAGGAAAATGACACATGAAATAAATATTGACCAATAAGAAAATGACACCATCTCAAGTTCAAGGATAGCGTTAGACTTAACAGAATAATTTTTGGGATATTTTCCTGAATATCCTAACAAGCATTAGAGCCGACAGGTAGAAATACGTGGAAGAACTAGCAACAACGGAGGAAAAAGCTGCAAGAGAAGGAAATACGAGACAGCTATGTGACACAACGAAGAAAGTAACAGGAAAGTATAGTAAACCAGAGAGACCGGTCAAGGACAAAGAAGGCAAAACAATCAATGAGATTCAAGAACAAAGGAACAGATGGGTAGAACACTTCGAGGAACTCTTGAATAGACCAGCTTCATTGAATACGCCGGCCATAGAAGCAACACCTACAGACCTTCCTATGGATGTCACTCCAACAATGACGGAAGAAATCAGGATAGTCATCAGACAAATCAAGAGCGGGAAAGCGGCAGGACCTGACAATATACCAGCCGAAGCACTGAAGTCAAACGTGGGAGCAACTGCAAACATGCACCATGTTCGATCCAGGAAGATTTGAGAGGAAGAACAAGTGACGACAGACTGGAAAGAAGAATAGCTCATCAGGATACTAAGGAAAAGAGATCTAAGCAAATGTGAGAACTACAGAGACATCAAATTACTATCAGTATCAAGAACCATTTTGAACAGAGTGTTGTTGGACTGGATGAAAGATTAAGTAGACGCTCGACGTCCAGATCAATAGTCTGAACTCCATAAGGATCGGTCGTGCACAGACCGAATCACAACACTACGGATCATTGTTGAACTATTAGTTGAGTGGAACTCGTCACTATACATCAACTTCATTGATTATGAGAAGGCGTTTGACAGCGTGGGTAGGAGAACATTATGGAAACTTTTTCGACACTATGGAGTTCCTGAGAAGATTGTCAACATTATCCGGAATTCATACGACGAACTACATTCCAAAGTCATGAATAGAGGACAGCTGACAGATGCATTCCAAGTGAGGACAGGACTCAGACAAGGCCGATTACTCTCTCCCTTCCTTTTTCTTCTCGTGACTGACTGGATTATGAAGACCTAGACATCTGAGGGAAAGCACGGAGTACAATGGACAGTTCGGAATCAATTAGACGATTTGAACTTCGAAGATGACCTGGTCCTTCTATCCCATACACACCAACAAATGGAGATGTATGAAACTAATGTAGTAGCAGCCCCTGCATCACTAGGCGTCAACATACATATGGAAAGAACCAAGATCCTCAAATACAACACGAAGAACACCAACCCAATCTTACTTGATCGAGAAACTTTGGGAGAGTTGGGAAGTTTCACGTATCTGAGTAGCATCATAGATGAACGTGGAGGATCTAATGCAGAAGTAAAGACGAGGATTAGCAAATTTAGGGCCGGAGTCCTATAATTGAAGAACATATAGGACTCAAAACAACTATCAAGCAACATCGAAATCAGAATCTTCAATACGAACGTCGAGACAGTTCTACTGTACGGAGATGAAACGTAGAGAACTACTACAACTATTATCAGAAGGTGCAAGTATTTATAAACAGTGGTCTACATAAGATACTGAATATCTGTTAACCGGATAAAATCATCAACAACCTGCTGTGTAAAAGAACAAACCAGGTTCGAGCTGAAGAAGGAATTAGGAAACAACACTAGGGGATAGGACATACATTGTGGAAATCATCACACTGCATCACGAGACAAGTACTAGCTTGGAATCTTGAAAGGAGACGAAAAAGAGAAAGGCGAAGGAACACACTGCATTGAAAATTTGAAGCACCCATGAATAGGGTGAATAGCAATTGGAAAGGCTTTCCCAGAACAGAATTCGACAGAGAATATTGGTGGTCGGCCTATGCTCCTCGAAGAGAGGTATCAGGTGTACGTAATGAATTAAGTAATTGGTTTGATTAATTTGTTTACAAGTGTTGCGGAAGCGTCCGTTCCCCACCTTTTGTTCTAAATCCTATTTTAAACGAGGAAATAACTGTGAGAGTGATCATGTTCAACTGAAAACGATACTGATGATTCATATGCCCAAGTAAAAACGGCAGTCTCATATTTTGGTATACAACTTAATGAAGACAGTTATATCACTAATGCTTCTCTACATTACTGAAGGTCAGATATTACAGCAGTTTTATCACCGTTAATTACATAGTTGCAATGTGTTCTTTTTATAGATTGATAATTTATTGAGCAACAAATTAGGAATCATAAGCTGTTATTTTATTTCTCCATTTTCTTATTTTATTACGTAGCAAGTTACAAGATGTTCCCAATAAATATGTCTTTTTTTATTCATAGTTTCTGGATGTCTTCTACCAAGTGATTTAGATCCAATCGGTCGAAGACCATCACATCGTTTCTCTGGAATGTCATCTACATTAGGTAACGAACTTTTATTTTCCGTAAGTTTGTGATCCATTTCCTTCAAAATTCTTTTATTTTGTTATTCACAACATATTTATTTAGTTAGTAGACTGCATTACTTATAAATGCATTTCATAATTGTAAAGTTAGGAAATAATTTTAGTTTCTTGTTTTGCCGTTTACACTTCAAAATTAATTTTTAAAAGGTCCATTTTAGGTTACTAGTTGGGTATTCAGCTAAAAATGTACTATGCCACAAATCATTAATACATGTTCAGACAAAGTAAGCGTAAAAATCAAGTAAAATTTAACTAGGATGGGTGTTGAAAAGATGCCTTTACGATTAAAGCATTTGACTTTCAACCGAATAGGTTGGAGGGTCGAATGACATTTTATTTACCTTAATTTTATCACTTGGGTAATGTCTATAATAGCTTTCGTACAATCAGTGTACATAAATACTGTGTTATGTTAATGCAGAATTCACTAATTAAATTAATTTACATTGGTTAAATTAAGTAGGGGTTTTTCATAATTTCTAATAATGTGTAATTTATATCTTATTAACAAACTATCTTCCTAACTAATATTATCGTTTAAAGATAAAGACTAGAGTAACTACCGTGATTGTAAATTACTAGTCCTAACGAATAAAGACTGTTTTTGATTAATAGCTTATCCAGGCTGATCTTACCTATACTATCAATGCTTTGATATTAAATATTTTTGAATTTCGATGGTTTTCCATCTCAACACATCGTCAACTACGTTGAATATGTTTTTGAAATCATATCACATTAATATAAAAACGCACAAATGTCAAGTTGACAGATCAATATATTGCTCATATCACAGGGAATGTCGGTTCATGAGCACTGATCTCATTCTTAGCACACACACACACACATCTAAATTGTAGTATTTGTCTGTTTATCTTAATAAATACTTATGTTTAAAATAGTGAAAAGCTGAGAAGTATTTTAATCACTCAATAAAACAAACATTTTAAGTACATTTATCCTTTGAATTTGTTTTTCATATATTTTTTTGGAAAATACATGTATATCACTGACTTAAATCTTGTGTTTTTTACAATGTATATTATAAGTAAACACCGTAAGACCAGATGGTAATTAATGAACATTGCAAACTAAATAACAACGAAATATGTTTAATGAACAGTAGAACAAATTACTTCTGTTGTTGTTGTGGTTTTAATTCCTTCTAAAAAAAATTCTTTCTATCTCAGGGGAAATCGATGAATGTGACAATTCAAGTAGTTCTTATCTCTGAATCTGTTCGTTTACAACAAGTTTTGGCAACTTATGGTATTATCACTCAAACACCTGTACAAGTTGAACCTATTCAAGTGAGTTGGCTAAATTTTTGTTTCATTCTTGTCGTTAATTTGTTTTATCTTTACGAATTCTTTTATGTTTTATCAATCACTTCTTATCTTTGGTTCAAATTACTAAAGGTTTTGGTGAGACTATAATTTATGGGCAATAATTGAGCAATACTTAAGTGATCTTGAGAATATCCACCTACTTACCAGGGTAAATGAGGGTTATAAATTAATGTAAGGAATTAGGGTTAGGATTTACAGTTGAAAGTTAGAATTAGGATTCTCATCACGAACTAACATCAGCTATAATGCCAAAATGGTATTTGGCCATATGGATGAATAAATATCGCACCAGAATCCAAGATCGGCTATCTTGAATCTAACTGATTCGTCCGTAGTTTATGATCTTGCATAGGTTTTGTTTGAAATTAGGTTTACTCAGTGTTTTTTTTTATCAAACTGAATACTATTTTATTTTCTCTTCTATAAACTTGCATTAATTTCATGAAATATTCTTCAGGATTAAATAAAGAAACTCAGTCAATCCTTAATCATAGGTCAGTGGTACTGGCGTATTGGTATGGTTTATTTTATTTGATCAGAGGGATAGAAATTGTTGTTCTATCCTTCATAGAAGTAGATCACTCAGACAATATTTCTTTTAAACATTATATTCACACGACTTCATTATTATTATCTTAATTAACATGACTTATTTTTCCTGTCATTCATTTTTCCACGTGATTTATTTTAATTAGCTTTATTATAAGCTTACATCTTACAGTTGGTTTTTCTCCTTTTTCGAATAGCCTCTCAACTTTTCAAATTACTCACTTCAAATTTATATAAGCTGTAACAATATCTAATCCACAGATTATGATGTGCATTATTGGAGTCACTAACATAATATTTGTGGATTTATAATTTTAGAGTCACGTTGTGAATAATTTTTTAGGTTCTTTTAACTTTTAAAGTAGATTTATTTCATTGACGATATAGTTAAATCTATTAGCCTTTGATACAGAAAATATAATTTTTCTCAATTTACTCATTTCTTAATTCGACTTAATTGTTTCAAAATTGATATTCATTTCATAAGATGTTCCGATTTAGCCTTGGAATATCTTATTAGTTTACTAATGCCTGGTGATACATTGTGTATTTTATAATCTATGTAAAAGTGATTAAGGAAAAAGGAGTCTAGTCTTGTTGGAAGTAACTTTGAGATTCAATCAAATAGTTGATTTCATTTTATGATTATTCATCTGATGTAGTTTCTGCTTTGGATTCCATATGGACCCATACTCTCTCTCTCTCTCTCTCTCTCGATTTATAGATTTGGTCTCCAGATCAGCTTGTTCGTGTTGGCAAATTTATGGGTTGCAGTGAACGTCTAGGTTTATCTGGTCGTCCTCCTCGACCTTATGGGCAATTAGGTACCAGTAAATTTTATAGGCAAGTTATCGTTTTGTCCAAGATCGTGTTTTGCAAATGATTGTAATTATCATTTCATGAGGATTCAAATATCTTGATATCTTGATACGGGTTAGTAGTCCATACTCTCCACGGAAACATAAATTTATAATTCTTTGTTGTCTTATAATAGACTTGTGAAGATTCATGGCTCAGGTAGATAGTTTTGTTGAAGTTATGTTCTCTAATACTTATTATCTAGCTAAATAAAGCCATGTGTTGTGAGTAATCTTGGGTAAAATTTTGTTCAAGTTACTTCTTTAAATTAAGTAATATATTGTCAGCCGTTTGTCTTAACAGTCTTGCTTAGTTTTTAAAAAGCTTCCTAAATATAATACTTTGGAGTCGTATGGACTAATTTCATTATGAAAGAAGAATCCATAACCAATGTGAAAATGTTCATTAATCATATAAAAAATAGTGAACAGTTTTGTAATTTCTTTTTTCCCGATTATAAATTCATCTTCCATATAATCTTTATTGTGATGGGTTAAAAACGATGAAAAATTGTTTAACTTCATTTCAGAAGTCGCTCAAGATCTTCGGCATGGTTAAGCTTAACTGAAAGATCATTGGAGAGAAACTAGAAATCATATACAAGCTGCCATTTAATTTATCAAAATAAGTTGACTGAGTCATTTATCATGAATAAAATAAATAAATAAATAAATAAATAGACAATAATAATAATAAAAAACAGGATTCATAATACTCATATTCTTAAGAAAGGAAGAGTAATTGGACAATTATGCCTTTTTTATTAGTTCAGAGAATCGCTGAGTAGAAATATCGTTTTCTCATCTACATATAAAACTGTACTGCCACTAGAATATATATTGATTAAGGCTTTCGACTTCAAATCGTCTAGTGATTGGTTTGAATCCCACTCCTCGTACTTCGATTTAGGTAAACAAGGTATATCATTAATCTTCAGACGTAGAGTTTGACTTAAACCCAAGTGTACAAGTTTGTATATGGTAAGTGATACTAATAATTATCAACTACTTATCACAGTTATGTGTCTCTGTGATGTAAACATTTCTTAAATAAATAAAATATAAATTGTTAATTATTGTAACTCATTCACATTAATTACAAGTTAATGCATACAGTTTTGAAGTATGCTGTTTACATGCAGGTTAGCGATACTATCCGGTTATGCGAATCGCAATTAAATAGAGTAAGGTATGACCTTACACATTATTGATTAAAAGTCGAATATTTTAATCGCTAAGCCATTAATTGGTCTTTATTATTGTATAGCTATCAAGTGATTTAGATGATGGGTAAAATGCACACATGTACATTCACTACTAGTTTTCACCAAGTATATTTAATCCAATAAATTATATGGCTATTTCGATTGTTTTCAAATTAAAAATTGTTTTATTAAACATGACTGGAGTGTTAGGTTCGTTAGATAATATACATGATTAATGTCTACGACTTATATCAATTAGATTGGATTATTCATTAACATTGGACACTAATCAAGTAAATCTATTAATTGATATATTATAATCATATCTAATCATAACTAATTATGATTTGAATACAAGAGAAATAACTGTATAGCATTTTTGTTCAGTTGAATCTAATCGATAGATATCAGAGCCCCCAAATGCCCTGGTACGGCTGAGAGTGGGGAGAGTTCGCTCTCCCTCACGAAATGCTCTCACATGGCCACGCGTATACAGCTTCTGCCAGGGAAGTCCTACTCACTGCCTTCTCGTGGCACAGGTGTTGTTTACAGAATTGAGAGAACGAAAAGCGAATGTCCTGAGATTTAACCGGGTTGGTAGACACGGAGAGTCCACCTAGGGGAATTGGAAAACCCTGATTCCAAACCAAGTATGGTGATGCACATGGGCTCCAGTATCCTGAAGGAACAAATGGCATGTATGAGCCAATCGTTGGTCACTGGCTACCGACTGCGTCTCTTTACGATGCTCCATTGCATTGTGGATCAGACCTTTAGATAGAAGACTCCGGGTGTGGCCCCCTAATAAAACCACCTGTTTCGGTTTGGGCACCCAGGCAGTACCACAGCCCTCACACAAATCAAATGAGATGTTTGTGGTGCATATTTATCTGGTGCTCCCTTGTACCAGTATTTATGTGTTCAAATAAATATATGATAGATATTAGTAATTAATGTGTGTCTAATGTCCTGTCTATCAATTTGGCCATTTTATAGCGATCTCTTTCATTCATACTTTCACTGTCGATATCACCAACAAAAAAACCTTTTCAGGTTTACATCTGCATATTTATGACGTAAATTATGCTATCCTGTTAGTTTTTCATGAATACAATTTACATGATCTTTCGGTTTTACACTTTATTGTATTTTTTTTCTAATCACTCATTACTTATCTTAGAATATCTGGTTTAACTGTTCTTTGTTATCCAATATTATTTGAATCTCAAGAGTTTTATCTACTTCATGATATGCAAGTGGTTATTGATGAAGCTAAGGTAGGTGAAATAATTATTGGCCATTTTATTCTTATATTGTTTTTCCTTATTATTATGTTTAATATGAAACACAAGAATGAAGTAGGGAGTAATATTTACTATCCTTGCATGATTAGATCATGTGAATTTGCTCGAAAAGAACTTACTAGAATGGTACTTAACTAGACTAATAAAATACAAATACAATTATTCTCCCACTAATAAATCTCAGTGAGATGTAGGAAATATCAAAAGATAAAAATATCTTCTGATTTCTGTAAAGATCGATTAGTGTCAATACTGGCTCTTAATTATGACTGGAATTTGTGAATAGGTTGAAAGAATTCAACAATTCACATAACACCGTATCATCTATTTCACTTTATGTTCAATCATTTAAAGTATTTAAATTGTGGTTTTGTTACTTTAATGAACACGTTTATAGGTGATAAGTAGGGATAGGTACGAAATTTAAAACATTTCAACAAAAATATCTATATTTACTGTATATTTTTGTCATTATTTCATTGATCAACTGTTAGATAGCTTAAAACAAGACATAAGTGAATAACATTGCTTTGCATTAAATTCTTACCAATCTTTAATCTAATATGCAATCATATCGGTGTACATATGTGGGAAAAATAGGACTGTACTGATCAAGAAAATATGTCTGCCAGTGATACACAACTCGTAAAAAATGTATAGTAGAATAAGAGGTGTATTATTAGTAATGATATTAATAACAATCACGAAACATTCTTTTTGGTTATTCCTTTTGTACCCAGCACTTGAACACTAACAGCTTTTATTTCTCTCCTGTAAAATCGTTTTCTCAATAATTGATCATTTACCTATTTGGTTATACAATAATCTATTTTTATCGATCAATTTTATTTCTTGTTCATTACAGACAGATTTTCTATTTTTGTCTAATTGGTGGAGATTGCGTGGACGTCCCACATTTTGTTTTCTGATGCGTGAAGATATGGTAAAGTAAGTTATTTTTAAAAAAAGAATTCTATTCAGTATTTATGATCACACAGCATTGTTATTAATGCTGATTTCATTTATTGTCTTTTTTACTTACGCCTGTTACTCCTCGTGAAGGAGCATAGGCCGCTCACCAGCATTCTCCATCCAACCCTGTCCTGGGCAATCCTTTCTAGCTCCGTCCAGTTGTAATTCATCGTTTTCATATCTGCTTCTATTATCCGACGCAATGTGTTCTTTGGCCTTCCTCTTTTTCGCTTCCCTTCAGGATTCCAAGTTAGGGCTTGCCTCGTGATGCAGTTTGACGATTTGCGTAATGTATGTCCTATCCATTTCCATCGTCTTTTCCTAATTTCTTCTTCAGCTGGAAGTTGGTTTGTTCTCTCCCACAGAAGGCTATTGCTGATGGTATCCGGCCAATGGATGTTGAGTATCTTGCGTAGACAACTATTTATAAATACTTGTACCTTCTTGATGGTGGTTGTTGTAGTTCTCCAAGTTTCAGCTCCATACAGTAGAACTGCCTTGACGTTGGTATTGAAGATTCTCACTTTGATATTGGTTGAAAGTTGTTTTGAGTTCCATATGTTCTTTAACTGTAGGAATGCTGTCCTTGCTTTGCCAATCCTTGCCTTTACGTCTGCATCTGAACCTCCTTGTTCATCGATGATGCTTCCTAGGTATGTGAAGGACTCTACATTTTCCAGAGTTTCGCCATCAAGAGTGATTGGATTGTTGTTTTCCGCTTTGAATTTGAGGACTTTTATTTTGCCTTTGTGTATGCTGAGGCCTACTGATGCAGAGACTGCTGCTACACTGGCTGTCTTCATCTGCATCTGTTCGTGTGTACGTGATATGAGGGCTAGGTCATCTGCGAAGTCCAAATCGTCTAATTGATTTCGAGCTGTCCATTGTATTCCGTGTTTTCCTTCAGATGTCGAGGTCTTCATAATCCGGTCGACCACCAGAAGAAAGAGGAAGGGAGAGAGTAAACAGCCTTGTCTGACTCCGGTCCTTACTTGGAATGCATCTGTCAGCTGTCCTCCATGCACGACTTTGCATTGTAGTCCGTCATATGAGTTCCGGATAATATTGACAATCTTCTCAGGAACTCCGTAGTGTCGAAGAAGTTTCCATAACGTCCTCCTATCCACACTGTCAAATGCCTTTCCATAATCAATAAAGTTGATGTATAGTGACGAGTTCCACTCAATTGATTGTTCGATGATGATCCGTAGTGTCGCAATTCGGTCTGTGCACGACCGATCCTTACGGAATCTAGCCTGTTGATCTCGAAGTTGGGCGTCTACTGTATCTTTCATTCGGATCAACAACGCGCTGTTGAAGACCTTCCCTGGTATTGACAGCAGTGTAATGCCTCTATAGTTTTCACATTTGCTCAGATCTCCTTTCTTTGGAATCTTGACGAGGTGTCCTTCTTTCCAGTCCATCGGCACTTGTTCCTCCTTCCAAATCTTTTTGAATAGAAAGTAAAGCATGTTTGTAGTTGCTTCGATGTCTGACTTCAGTGCTTCAGCTGGTATGTTGTCCGGACCCGCTGCTTTCCCGTTCTTCATTTGTCTGACGGCCATTCTGATTTCTTCCTTCGTTGGTGGGTTGACGTCTATGGGAAGATCTGTGTGTGCCGCTTCGATGTCCGGTGGATTCATTGGAGCCGGCCTATTCAGGAGTTCTTCCAAGTATTCTACCCATCTGTTCCGCTGTTGTTGAATTTCGGTGATTGGCTTGCCTTCTTTGTCTTTGACCGGCCTCTCTGGTTTACTGTATTTCCCTGCTAGTTTCTTCGTTGTATCGTGAAGCTGTTTCATATTTCCTTCTCTAGCAGCTTTTTCTGCCGTCGTTGCTAGTTCTTCCACGTATTTCTTCTTGTCGGCTCTAATGCTCCTCTTCACTTGTTTGTTTGCTTCTATGTATTCAGCTTGTGTCTGGACTTTCTCTGCTCGTGTTCGGCTGTTGTTTATTGCTGCCTTCTTGTTCTCCCTTTCTTTGATCTTGTCCAGTGTTTCTGTAGAGATCCATTCCTTATGATGGTATTTTTTAGACCCAGAACCTCTTGACACGTTGAAGTTAATGCTTCCTTGATGCCTTTCCAGTTGTCCTCCATACTAGTTTCTTCTTCTTTCAGTAGATCTTGTAAGGCTTGGAACCTGTTGTTGAGAGCTATCTTGAATTCATTGAGTTTGTCAGTATCTCGAAGGAAGGCTGTATTGAACCTTTGTAGTGCTGTTTGTCCACTTGTCCAGTTCTTTTTTAGCTTCAGTTTTAAATTGGCCACAACTAGGTGGTGATCTGAAGCTACGTCAGCACCTCTCCTGGTTCTCACATCTTCCATTGTCCTTCGGAATTTTTTGTTGATGCAAATATGATCTATTTGGTTCTCTGTAGTGTGGTCCGGTGAGATCCATGTAAGCTTGTGTATACGCTTGTGTGGAAATATTGTGCCTCCTATGACAAATTTGTTGAATGCACATAGATTTGCAAATCTTTCTCTATTTTCGTTTCTTTCTCCCAGTCCGTGTCGTCCCATAATATCTTCATATCCAGTGTTGTCTATTCCGACTTTGGCATTTAGATCTCCCATCAGAATAGTTAGGTCCTTTCTTGGGCATTTCTCAATGACTGACTGCAGCCGCTCGTAGAACTGATCTTTAATGTCGTCGTTGCTATCATTTGTGGGTGCATAACATTGGATAATATTCATTAAGATCCCCTCCTTCTTTGTTTTGAATGATGCTTTGATGATTCTGGATCCGTGAGATTCCCATCCTACAAGTGCATTTCGTGCTACTTTGGACAGCATAAGAGTGACTCCCTGAGTGTGTGGAGCATTGTCCTCTTCGTGACCGTAGTATAGCAGCATCTCTCCCGTATTTGGCCTTTTCTGTCCAGCTTGGGTCCAGTGGGTTTCGCTGATTCCCAGTACTGCTAAGTTGTATCTCCTCATTTCCATTGCTATTTGACTGGTCTTCCCGGATCCCACATTGTTCGAACGTTCCATGTACCTATAAACGTTTTGCTCTGGTTGTTAGAAGGAGCATCGGCCTCGTGGCTTCCGAAGGAACTCGGCTTTCACCATGAAGCGTCATAATTCTTGTAAATGAAGACCTTCTAACTCCCAGGGCAGAGTTTAAATGGTTTGGATTATTTTTTCTGGTAAGCGTTTTTTTTAGAGAGTTAGTTTTCTACGGGATGGGGACGCTAACCCCATGCCCAACCCTCCTCCTTTACCCGGGCTTGGGACCGGCTGTAACCCTATAAGAGCTGCAGGCGGAGTTATTGTCTTTTTTGGTAACCTAATATTAGTGGGTACTATTGTGTAAGATTTGTATCAACAAACAAACTGTAAATATTCGACTAGCTACATTTCTATTTTCTGCGGCATCACTTATAGATAAATGTAATATCAATATCACAACAAAAATGTTAATATGACATACAGATTATTTTTATATAGAAGATAGATTAGTTAGTCGAATTGGTGGTTTCAATTTCAAGCAAGTGAATCATATATGGATGTCAATTGATTTACTAATAAATACGTTTATTATTTTGATCTGCTAAACTATATAGAGTAAGAAGTTGAGTAGGTGTAGAGAATAGTATTTTCAGCAATTATCATCATTTCATTTTATTTGTGTGTGGGCTGTGATACTGCCTGGGTGCTCAGACCGAAGCAGGTGGTTTTTTTTAGGGGGCCACACCCGAAATCTTCGACCTAAAGGTTTGATCCACAAGGCAGTGGAGCATCGTGAAGAGATGCAGTCCCATGGTAGCCGGTGACCGACGATTGGTTCACACGCCATTTGTTCCTTCAGGATACTGGAGCCCACGTGCACCGTTGGTTTGAAATCAGGGTATTCCAACTCCTCTTAGTGGATTGTCTATATTCACTAACCCGGTTAAATCGCCAGACATTCACTTTTCGTCCTCTCAATTCTGTAAACAACACCCCGCCATGAGAAGGCAGTGAGTAGAACTTCTCTGGCAGAGGCTGTATACGTGTGGCCATGTGAGAGCATTTCGAGAGGGAGAGCGGACTCTCCCTACTCTCGGTCGTACCAGGGCATTTGTGTGCAAGTGTAGAAAGCCCTTTTTGGTGTATGATGATTTCTACCAATATCCTATAAGCTTAGGTGTTAATTTATTTATTCAATGAATAATTCTGTTTTCCATTTTTATTTCATTCTTACCTTCATCATATTTTCTTGATAGTTCGTATGCTTTTGACATACTATATTTGATTATATCAGTACGATACAATAATTGTCATTCATGTTTTAAAAGATCATGATGCATTAAAAATTTAGCAGAACGAAATCTTTCTTAAACCAAGAGGTTATGAATTTGAATAATTGTTTATCAGTTTGATTATTATTCGTTGTTTTGGAGATTTTAGAAATCTGGACTCAGTTTAGTTTCGAATGTTAAAATACCTTTATTTATTATTATTATTATGTTCGATATGTTGGAAAGCTTATAATTCTATACATGTTTTATACTATCGTTTATTTGGCCCGTTATTGTGCTTCTTTTCTTCTACTATATCCGATTTCCTCGGTACATTTTCTGTGAGATATTCTTTGGATTTTGATAGGTGAAAATTTATTATTGTAATCTGAGTGAGATGATGCTAGATCCCCAGAAATCAAGTGGTAAATTTCTTATTTTTATAACTTAATTCTTGGAATTTTAATTTCTCACTTTTGCTCCAAAAGTGCCCATTATCACATCTAGTTTGTGCTTTCAACTTGGTAGGGCTCTAAACGTTATTGGTCCGTTCTCTTTTTTACTACGCTACTTTGTGACGCTCTTCATGAACATGTTTGTGTTGTGTATATTACTCATGATTTGTATGCTTGTTTTTTGTTCTTGCGGGCTGCTTGTGGAATTATACGTTTTCAGAAGGGAGTTTTGTAGAGATTTTTAGTAAGTTTATAGTTTAATTCATGAGTCGATTAAAGCTAGACCACCAAGGAAAATCT